GAGAATAACACCCTGGAGAAAACTTTCCAATATGCTACCATGGTAATTAAAAAGGAACTTGGGGTCAACAAGAACTGTGCTAGAAAAGCATGTGCCATCTGCAGAGTAGACAGGACCTCCTCCCAAACCTCTTATACTCAGGAAATTCAACATGCACTCTTCAGCACATGAGAACTTAGTGTGTGGATAGATTCCCACAACATTATCTTCACTTAATTAACCTTATATTAATATATTTGTAATCCATATGTGCACTGGAAATATTATTTGTTATAAAGTTCACTGTTTGTAATGTCCATTATATACTAATAGCTTGTTTATGTTATAGGGTGACTTAGCAATGAAGTTTTAATATGGAAATTAAAGTTATCCAGATCAGAAGTTAACATCATGATAATCATGTGTTTCCACATGATCTATGCTACTGACTGAAAAACTGATAAAGCCGTGTTCTAAAATGTATTTAGACATTTTCCATTTTTGAAAACTATTTCTGCAATAATTAAGGAAATTTAAAATTACTTATCTCAAACCATGCATAAAACATGTGATAAGACAAAGTTTGATAAATGTATGGAACATTACGAGAAAAAAATATTACATCCAATAATCTCACTGCTATTCTCTTTTAAAATAAATGCTTTTCATGTCAGGGATAGGTATAAGTAAAAGCTCAAATACATATGCAGATACTGTATAGTCTATTTAAACTCCACAAGAAGACTAAAGACATACCAAGAACTACTTGGGAAAGGATAGTATATGCCATGGTTCATGTACTTACAAATTGCTGGAAGAATAAAAAATAACCTTAAAAATGAGAGAGGGATTTTAAGAAAAATGGCAGGATTTGAAATGCTCATAAACTATCAAGATCATTTAGTAGAGCACATATATAAATACTCTCAGATATGACATAGAGACAGAAACAATAAAAATTGTGTGACAAAATGAATGCACAGCTTTAAAGAAACAGTTGCCACACAACAATGGGAAGAACTCAAAAATTACTGGAAAGAAATACACAGCAGTATTCAAAGAAATTAAAAAATAAAATCTGAAATTGAACCACAATTCTTTTTACTAGGCATAATTCCAAAACTTTCCATCAAAAATATCACGTTCCACTAAGACACATGTTTAAGGCAGCAAGAATAAATTTAGCACAATATTGGAAAAGAAAAATGTCACCTAAGTTATCAGATTGGGAACTTAAAACGTGAGAATATGCAGTGATTGCTAGTTGGTTAAGACATAGTATTATGATGCTGGATGGACCCTAGGGTCTTGGAGGAAGGAAAACCAAGAAGGGAACTTTAGTCTAATGGGTGGGGGAGGGCAGAGAAGAATATTTTGATGTTGGTAGGCAAAAGGAAATATGACAGGAGATAGCAACAGGCCACTAATGGGGAAGATATGTTTGGTGTTTACTACTGATTTCATCTTCCAGTTTCCTCAAATGAGCCCCAGAGCCTGGAAGATCTTTGGTGATCCTGGCTTCCAGCTGTTGCTGATGCTGCTTAACACTACCTTAACACTACCTTTTTTTTAATGACAACCTTTTAAAATATATATTTGGTCAACTCAGGTGGTAACATATCTAATACTTGTGCCTATTTTCCTCACATCAACAATCCTGTGAGATGTGTTTGACTGAGAGTGACTGGTCCAAAGACACCCAGCCAGCTTTCATATCTAAGGGAGGCCTAAAATTCAGTCTTTGGGTTTCTAAGCCAACATTTTAAACCACTATGCTAAACTGATGTGTAAGTTAGCCTGTAATAAGTCTCTTCTCATCCAAGATCAAAGATGAGAGGACTGACCTGGCAAGTATAACCAGAACACTGATAAACACTTTGGGATATGTGGCCCTTTGGAGATGTACCCATCTATGTATCAAGTGTGGCACCAGCTATAATCCTAAAGTAGTGATGGTAGAGTGGTTAATTTCAGAGGGGCTGCTCTAAAGATAACTGGATGTGAACCCTATTTGTGAAGCTGGCCTCTAGGATCTGATGGAAAAATGCTGCTATATCAGCTACTAGATGCCATAGTAGAGCTGGTGATGGAGCTTCCCAAATTTTGTCCAGTGTCCAATCTCCTACTTTTGTTTCTTTGCACTTGGGCTGTACCTTCAGACGGCCTTGGAGGAAATGGATTATGTGAGTTCCCATCAGGTTTCAGGCCTCAGTAGAATACTCAGTACACATTAATTGTTGATGACTTTGTTCTTGATGACTATGACTGAACGGGAATGAAAGTGGGATGGTCTGTCCATCCTGGACCTTTCTTATCTCTTGATAGCTTTCAAACAAATCAATGTATCTTCTGGTATTCTTCTGAACTGACTCAGATGGCTGGGAGTGGCAGGCACAGCACAGTATTCTCACGTGTCCTGGTTACAGGACTGGCTACTGGTTACAGTCAGAATTGGTTATGGGGCGGGGAGATCGAGTCTTAGAGTTTTACTTGGAAAGATGCTGTAGGACTTAATGCGCTCCTCTCTATTTATTATTTACATGAGGTCACAGGTCATCCAATGGCAACATACTAAAGGCACCTGGTTATACATACTCAGTTGTGGGCCTCTGAACAGAAATAGGCTGAAGATCAATCTTAGCAAGACAGAATGGCTGTGGATGCTGAGATCACCTGAAGCTGGAGATCTTCATCTTTAATTCTGAATAGGATTGGAATACCCAGCTGGAAATGGTTTGCAAATTGTGGGTCCTCTTGTATTTTTGGCTCTTGCCAGGAGTTAGGAGAGCCTTTGCATAAATCTTCTGCACCAGTTGTGCTTGTTCCTGGATCAGAAGGCCCTGCTCAAAGTCACTCATGCATTTGTAATGTACTCTACATAGGACTATGGCTGAAGGTCAGAAGCTACAGAAGGTTCAGAAGACAGCAGCATGTGTAATTATGTATATATTCTACCTCAGTGTTCCCACATATAGCCCTATAAAGTAGTATAGATTTAGATCAGGGGTGTCAAACTGCTAGCCCATGGGCCGGATGCATCATCCGGAAGCTGCACCCACCCTATTGCCGGCAATGGCAAAACCGTCCCGATACGTTGTGCGACGTCACGTGATGTCGCGAGTTTGACACGTCTGATTTAGATGGTCCCAACTCTGCTGGCCTTTATAAAGGCTCTGAAGATCTGGTTCTTTCCTCAAGCACTGAGGCTGTAAAATGAGTCATCAGTACATGTTAGTTGGATTATGTGAATCATTGTTTCAAGAGCTATATTCATCTCTTTGCAGTTTTATTTTGGACATACTTTTTTGATGTTTTAATTTGTTAGCTGCCAGCATCACTTGGTGAGTGAGCAGCCATATATAATTGATTGATTGATTGGATAAGATAGACATATTTCCATATTTCCTAATCAAACAGTCATGAAACAGCAACTCATAGTTTTGCTATGTACAGTAATGGATTTTTCAATTTGGTACCTTCCAGACTGTAACTCCCAACACATATGGAGAATTTTGGATGGGGAACCATCCTCCAACTATCTCTACAATTCTATAAATCCTAGAAAAAGTTATTTGTATATCATTTCAGGTTTTTTTTTAACCAATCTTAGGATTGGTTAACACATCACTTGTTAAATCCTACAGAGTGAGATTTTCCTGAAATGAAATCAGGGTCACAAATGCTGATGCAATAATGTTCTTTAAGGATGTACAAGGTCTATTGTCTAGTCTATTTGTTGGACTGATGAAACAGACTAACCAAATGCCGTATCAGAAGGTTATATACATATATAACATATTTGTCACAGACTTAATGTTACAGAGCATTTTGCACCCCTTTAAATGCACTATATGTTAATGCATTCAACTGCAAATAATAAAGTGGTGCAAATAAAACAGTGCACGTAAACAGTAAATCCTTGATTTAGAAGACTTCTGGTTTAATAGATAAAATGTACCTCCAGACATCATCACAAAATAACAATGTCAGGTTGTATTCAGAATAATCCAGACATTTTATGTACGTTATATCATTTATCAATTTACAACATTTGTGTAATGACAGCATTACACAAACAATAAAAATATGCAAATTATTTAAATTACATCACTAATTGATTTAACAGACTCTTACACGTTCCATTAATCAGAGGTTTATTGAAGTTAATTATATTTTTCAATTACTAAATAAATAGAAAGCATCGTGTAAGTTTTCTGGAAACTAGAATCACTATTACCTAAACCAAATCCACATTATTTTATTTTCATTTCTTTAGTTTAGTTAAATATTGTATATTGCACTTTTCTGAAATATACCAAGAAATAAAATCTCCTAAAAATTAAAAAAAAAATTAATCATACAGCTATTAGGACACTAATAATATTTTCTATTAAAATTGAAAGATTAGAAAATTAATCTAATTATTTTTAAGTATCTCAGTATCTTTTAAATGTGAATTATTGTATGCATGGTATCTTTTAAATCTGAATTTAAAATATACCATGCTATTTAGGCATAGATGTCAAATGTGGCATTTGAAGCAAGTATGTTCAAATGTATGGAGACTTTTAAAATTGACATTTAGCAGAACAATTAAAAATTAAGATGGCAAAATTCAGCTAGTTTCCCTCTAGAAGTGCCAGGTTCTACTGGCTGATAAGGGATGGGCTTGATTTCGGCAATACTCCTTCCCCTTCAATCTGACCTCACACACTCTGCACATTCCTAACTAGTCCAGAGCGGCACTGAAATGTATATTGTAGTTTATAATGGAAAAACTAAGTTTCTTTCCCCTTCTCTGCTGAAATAGAAACAGAAGAAGCTGCCTTACATATTAATTTGGATTGTTGTTCCAACTAGCCTAGCAATTTCTCAATTAAATGCCAAGTATTGCAGATGGGACTTTCTGCAGAGAAAGCCGGATGCTTTGCACTACAGCTTTCCCGTGATGGAAACTAGTTGGATTCTCTCCATGCTGTTAATTGTAGAAAGAGTTAAATACTTTTGTTGGGTTCACTTACTGCTATTTCTCTACAGGCCGACATGGATATCCCTGTGCCTTCAATCTGTTTCAGTGCATATTCCTTTTCATCTTTTCTGCAAGAAAAAAGTGAATTTTACAAGACTTATTAACACTTGAAATATATAACAGGACTTACACAGCTTAATCTCTATCCTCTTATAATGGACTAATTGATGGTACAGTGCAGTTAATGATCCGTTCTATTTTTCCATAACCAATTATCACTTTGACAGGCAGCTTTTCAATAGGCAAAAAAACCCCCAAAAACACCACAATAAAGTGTATATTGCGATCTAATGAGAACACCTGATTATTCAAGTGATAATTATCAAAATGCCCTCCTAATTAGAGATGTGGGAAAACACAGTGATGATGGCAGTGTTGGCAAGGGTGGAGCAAAACTGGGTGTAGGAAGGAATGGTTGCCCTGAATAAGACCATATTGCCAAGGGAGTGGCAATTAGCAGCACTCTGTCAGCACCCATAGACATTAACAAAACAGCTTGCTTATAATAGCAATATTAAAACATTTTTGTTTAATTTTAATATTTCACTTGACCTGGAGCACTTCAAAGTGAAACTCTGGCCTCTGACAACAGTCCATACAAGTGATTTACAATCACAATTGAACCAGGATTTTCATTGCTAAACAATGTAGCTGTTAAATGAGTCATGCCTGATTGTAAACCTTTTTTTTGCCATGCTTGTTAAGTAAATCATATGTTGTTAAGTGAATCTGGCTTCCTCCATTGATTTTTCTTGTCAGAAGCTGGTTGAAAGGTTGCAAATGGTAATCACATGGCCTTGGGATACTTCAACTGTTGAAAATACATGAGGGTTGCAAAGTGCCCAAACTTTGATCACCTAACCATGGGGATGCTACAATGGTGTAAACGCAAGGACCAGTCGTAAGTCACTTTTTTTCAGTGCCGTTGTGACTTTAAAAAGTGATGCTGTTACCACTACTGTATATCCAATTACTCTAATGCGGAACTTCTACATCTAGAGATTCTATGTTCCTGGCATCGTTAATTTTAAAAAATCAGGTACCAAACAGATGATAAGACAGATCCATATCTAAGATATAGTGTATAAACAGAATCTAAGTACTAAATCTTGAATCAGATGGATAAAAAGTTTGATATGATATTGCAGAACTTTCTATGTACATTTATCAGAAGTTTCCACTCCCCCAGTACTTAGGGAAACAGTAAAATGCACACCTTTTTCTTGTGTAATTGTTAATTGTTTTAATGAATACTTTTTAGGTGCCGCAGTAGTGCAGTGGTTAGAATGTAGAAAGTCTGGTAAAATTTAATGGTGAATTTAGATTTATTCTCAATTAATATGCATAAAATCGCAGTATGCATAATCCCATTCAGTACTCCAAAATATTATTCTACTCAGTCACTGATTTTACATAAATTCCATTCAACCTGTTCCAAAACAGTCGTTCTAATTTTGTTTTGTATTCATTTTCTTGCTGGCTCCTGGTAAGCTAGTATTAGAATTCTAAATTTAATTAATATATAATATAGCTGCCATTAACAGAACTGTATTGGCACATGTAACATTCTGAGTTACATTTTTAATATAATTAAGTAGACATAGAGGAATAGTTTGTATCTGCAGTTTAAATATTATCTTATTTAACCTCAACACCAACTTTTTAAAACCTTATTCCTCTGCTGCATTATCAACACATACATCAGACTTTGGGAATTTGACTATGCCAAAGGTATAGTATGCCAACATACTATTGTAAATGTTATATGCAACTTTGGTACCAGCATGCTATTTTTATTCTGTTAACTGTTATTAAAATTTGAGCCATTCTGTTACAAAAATGTTACTATATATAGGAACACTGATTTTAGTCATAAAATATTTTTATTGATTTAATACCAATCAAAACCCATGCCTCATATTAATTTATTTTGTTGGTCTATATAACAATTTATTGGTATAATAGAGTATAGCAGATATCTATTATATTTCTAAAAAGGTTTTACGGGTAGTCCTCAACTTACACAGTTCCTTTAGTGACCATTCAAACAGCATTGAAAAAAGTGACTTATGATCATTTTTCACGTTTATGACCGTTGCAGCATCCCCATGGTCACATGATCAAAAATCAGACACTTGGGCACTGACTCACATTTATGACCATAGTAGTGTCCCAGGGTCATGTGATCCCCTTTGGTGACCTTCTGACAAGCAAAGTCAATGGAAGAAACAGATTCACTCAACAACCGTGTTATTAATTTTCCAACTTCTTGAAAATGTTCAGTTTCTATCTCAAAAAAATATTTCTAACCACATCTTCAGTTTTTTCAGAAATTTTGAACTTGCAACCAATGCAGGATTGTATTCATCTTTGAAGATCCAGAAAGAGTTTGTTGACGTCTGCTTTGGTATGGCTTCTGCAAACATGGCTATGATGCACAGAATCTAAGAAAAGTTGAAGGTTTGTCAGAACAAATACTGACTTCAGATATTTTTCTCTTTCAGTTTTGAAATGAATTTGGCTGGAGCGGAGGCAAGACTGGTTTTTATGTAGCTGACAAGCTGGAGGCAAACAAATGTCTAATTAAAAATAACTGTACCACCCATATGTTTGCCTGCACTCTTTAAAGACAACCAAATCGCACTGGCACACACACGCAAATGTACCAATGATTAGATATTAAGGTAAAATGTCGGTACCAGTAATTCCTTTTTTAGCAACTGCTTCGTTTAATGACTGTTTGCAGTTATGCAGGTGATGAAAAAGTAATCTTACAATCAATCCTTTATGACCCTCACAGATCTGTAAAGCAAATTAAAGCTGAAGTACAATCATAAATACAGTTCTGGTTTCACTTAGCAACTGCTTCACTTAACAACTGAGTTGCTGGTCCTGTGGTCTCTAAACAAGAATTACTTCTATATATCTATGCACTAGCATATTTTTTAAAATAATATTCCAGAAACAATGTTTAAAGCAATCGTTTCCAAATATTTTGGAGAAATATATATGGTGTTTATAAAATATAATAAAAAGAATCTCTCTTCCCTCCTGAAGTTCTCTCGTAACCAGAAAAATATTTTTCTAAACAGAAAGGAAAATCAAAGAGTAAATATACCAGAGCATCCCAACATTCACAATAGAATTCCGATATCAATAGTTTATATTCTTTTTTTAAAAAAAACATCTTGTCTAGCAAATCAACAGTTGTTAAGGTAACTAGCAAATTTTGTCTTTGCAATCAGCTTTTATATTCCTAATTTTCTGGTCTAGTTAGGAATCAGTTTAGGAATACAACATCTAATTTTAGTCGTGCTTCTTGTAATTTCAATTTATTTACAGAATTCCATTTACAATAGTCACTTTCTAAAAATGCACCAATTTAGGAATAATAATAAAAAAGGGCTAGGAAATTAATTTCATTTATTTATTATTAAATTTATATACTACCCATTTCACTATCCAAAGTGACTCTGAGTGACTCACAGTGCCATAAAATCATTAAAATTAACAACAATTAAATAAAGACTAAAAACTAAGAGCATGAATGGTACAGGGATGGGATCATGTCTATCACTCCACCAACCACTTCCACATATAGCACACCCCCATCAGTGCCCTAAGCCAACCGGCAGATCCAGGTTTTAAGGCACTGGCTCCCAACCTTTTCTATATCCTGCACCCCTAGAACGCTTCTAATAAATTCTCGCACCCCTTACAAAAGTTCAAAATAATGGCAATGAATTATGCACAGACACCTATAATTTTGGAAACCCAAGTTTTCGCACCCTCTGGAATATCATCTTGCACCCCCGGTTGGGAACCCCTGTTTTAAGGCCTTTCTAGAAGGCAAAAAAGAATGGTGGCAGATCTCACCTTTGGCAACAAGATATTCTAGAAGGCAGAGGCTATAGCAGAAAAGGCTGTTTTCTTAAATGGTGCTACTCAAAATTCCTTAACTGCGGCAAGCCCATTTTGGCGGAACGAGTGGGGCAGGCCAATCGCATTTGATAAGAGACTTCCTCACTTCCTGGTTCCATGTCATGAATGGATTTAAAGATGATAACCTCATAATACCTAATCCTGTGGTGCCATATGATCTCACCCAGCAACTTCATGTAGTTGTTAAAAAGGAGCAGAAAGAATACCAAGCCCTGTGGCATACCACAAAAGAGGGGCCTTCAGATGGACCTCAGAATCCCTATCAACACCAACTGGGACCAGCATTGGACAAAGGAACTAAATAAGTGCAAGACTGCATTGCCCAGCCCCAAATCTCGCAGTGCCCGAAAAGGATACCATGGTCATTAGTATCAAAAGCCTCTGAGAGATCAAGGAGGGAGAGGATGAATGCACTATCCCCATCCTGCCCTTGCCAGAGATCATCTACAAGCGCAACCAACGCTGCTTCTGTCCCATAATCAAGCCTGAAATGGGATTGAAATGGATCCAGATAATCGATTTTCTCCAGGGCCCTCTGAAGCTATATAGCACAACCACTTCCAGCATCTTCCCCAAAAAAGGAAGGTGGGAGACTGGAAAAAATTCTCTAGATAGGTAAGGTCCAATGATGGTTTCTTAAGAAGGGGCAGACCAAGGCCTCCTTGACTGGCATTGTTGCTGTCTGGACCCACCTGGAAGTCACCATCCTGGAAGTCTTAACCAGCCAGGAGGAATACGGATCTAAAAAGATACTGTTCTTTTACAACCTACCCTCACATAAAAGTACTTTAGAATTTAAAATGCAGATTCTTAATTTTTGTTAAACGTCTAATTAAAATAATATGACAAACTACTATTAAAATCAAGTATAATTGCGCCTAATGGTTATCCACAGAATTGTGGTTTTATTTTGGGAAAAATACCTTGCTCCACTCAGAGATATTCCACATGGCTGATAAGTAACGGACTGTGCTTTAAGCAAAATATTATCTTCTATAACTGGGAGATTTTTGCTGAAAATGCATATTTCTTTAAATGACTGTACTATTCTTTTTATTCTTTCTTGCCCTGGATGTTCTGCACTGTTGCAGGTTGGGGAGAAGACATGGCAAATAGGCAGGCACACTTGATTGTTCTTCCATCAACCTAGTTGTTAAGATGAATGACTAAATAGGAAACTATTTTTTGCAACTATTTTTCCTACTTTTTTATCTCTTAGGTTTCATTTTATTTTCTCATATTAAAATTAGTGAAAA